TGGAATATCATCAGACATGAAAACTAAGTTAGTATTAACATAACCGGAAGACATCATTTAAGTGAAATAAGCCAAGTATGGGGAGCTGAATATCACATGCTTTCCATGTATCCACTTACATGAGGTATCCAGAGGAGTCAAAGTGGCAGAGATGGAAAATGAAGTGGTGGTTACCAGCGGGTGGCAGTAGAAAGAAATGAGAAGATATTGCTTAATGAGTATAGAGCAGTGATTCTCAACCTGTGGGTCTCCAATTTTTGTGGGTCAAATGAGCTTATTATAGGAGTCACCTAAGACCATCAGAAAACGCAGATATTTTTACCTTATGACTCATAACAGTAGCAAAACTATAGTTATGCAGTAGCAATGAAAGCAATTTTATAGTTGGGAGCCAGCCACAACTTGAGGAACTGTATTAAAGAGTGGGAGCATTAGGAAGGTGGAGAACCAATGGCATAGAGCTTCATGACCTTGTTGGAGAGATTGACAATGCTAAACATTGCATAACTGAGTGCACTTGATACCACTGAATTGTCATCTTAAAATTACTGAGAGAAATTGAAAACTATATACTTTTTTTTCTTTGGGAATTTCATACACATGTCATTTATGCTATGATTTCATACACTTCTCACTTACCCCCTTCAACTCTTCCTGGGTTCCTTATAAGTCTCCCTTCCAATTTCATGTTTTTGCTCCTTTTTTTTTTAAATTCCACTAAATCCAATTAGAGCTGCCCTTATGAGCCTGAGTGTGGGAGCTTTCACTAGAACAAGGTTGTTCCAGTTTGTCTCTGTTGCTGTAATAAAACGTGGGGAAAAAAAACGGGAAGGAAAGGTTTATCTGGTTTCCAGGTTCCATCAGTGAAGAAAGCCAAAGCAGGAACTTGAGGCGGAAGCTTGAAACAGAAACCATGAAGGGTTGCTGCTTGTTATTCTGCTCTCTTTGTGTCTCAAAGTATTCTTGCATAACCCAGGACCCCTACCTAGGGATGGCACTGGTAACAGTGAGCTGGACTCTCTTACATTGAGTAGCAATTAAGAAAATGGTCCACAGACATTTCCACTAGCCAGTCTGATGAAAACATTCCTCAACGGAAGTGTCTATTTCCCAGGTGTATTAAACTGACAACTGAGATTAGCCATCACAATAGTCAATCAATCCATCAGCAACCACGCAGGGAAACTGACTGTCCCTCCTCCAGCAGCCCTAGACCTTTGGTAACGCCTCAGTTAGAGTGGGGGCTCTTGTGCCTCTCCGCTCTCTGGGTTGGAATGTTGACTGACTTGATTTTGTTCACCTCAGATCTTGTGCAGGCAACTATAACTGTAATGGGTTCATAAGTGTAAATGTCTGGTCATGGCCACACACACGGTTTTGCTTCAGTCCTTCTCAATCTCTGGCTCTTGTTAGAATTCTGCCCCCTCTTCTGTGATGTTCCATAAGCCTTTTGGGGGGTGATGTGTGATAGAGATGTCCCTTACATGGCTGAGCACGCTACAGACACTTAGGCTCCACACTGTGGCCGGTTGTCTCTGTAGTAAGTACTGTCCCTTGCACAGACACTTCTCTGATGAGGTCTGAGTCATATGACGTGCTTACATATTATTATAATGTGATAAAAAGACTAAGACTTCCACCAGAATACACAGCGGAGGCCAGAGAGGATGCCGCATACCCTACAATGCTAGGCTGTCCCTATAGCAAGGACTTTCAGTTATGATGAGGGTGAGAAATCTTGCTTTCACAAAACAGTGGGGGAAAAAAACAAGAGACTGAACAGCACATTTGTCCTTGAACTTTTACACTAGTCTTCCATACTCAAGACACCTTCTAGATTTAGTCAAATCATGCTCAGAAGAAGCAGAAAAAAACCAAAAAGAAGAAAAGAGGAAAATGTTGATGTTCCAAAACAGAATTTTGCAATTTTCAATTTACATACATACACATTCACTGCCGTGCACAAGTGCAGAGACTGTTTTTGGTTTGGTTTACCTTTTGTAGTAAACAAAGCCTAGACCTATGTTGGAGACAATCTTGGCATGAATTTTTCCTGTTTATTGTGTCTTTAATTCTATTGCATACATATTTGAGAAACTGATATTGAACTTTCTAAGCAAGGATATAATGTTTCAGTATGTTCTCAGTCTAAATACACATGATATGATTTAATATGGTACAAATTCCTAGAAAATTATGATGTATTTAATGGTTATCTTTTCTATGAAAAAGATAGCAACTTTGATATGCAAATTCCTGTACTTAAATCTTAGCATAGTGAAAACCTGAGACAGCATTGTGTTTCTGAAAGATACAGAGAAAGGTTCAGCAGAAAGAAATGCTTCCACCACTGTCTTTGTCACTACCACCAGCATCACCGGAAGCAAGATGCCCTCCTTTCCTAAGGCCTTTATTTCTCTTTTTAATAGTGCAGAGAAGTCTCAATGATAAAGAATCATTCCTTCACAGCTTACATAGTTGTTAAAATAGGACAATATTTATTGTTAAATAACCACAGCAAATAAGAACTTGAATGAACACTGGCAATAAAGAAAAAACTACCCTTGGCATTTGCTGTCCATGGGATCACTGGATCAAAGGCCATTTGGCTCAGTCAGATAAACTTTGATTCATATTAAAAACCTGTGATTATTCTATTTACAAGAAATAGAGCATATTCTTTGATAGAAAATGATTAAAATAATTTTGTGTGTGTGTGACACACACATCCACAGAATTTTATGTAGGTTAAATATAAGTAATAAGGACTTCTTTCTTTCTTTCTTTTTTCAGAACAATGATCCAGAAGAAAGGGGTTAGGGAGGAAGGAGCCTAATGGCTCTTAAGACCCAATAAATCTTGAAGACTATTTCAGTAAATTACTAGCACCATCAGCAAGCAAGTCATACATTTTACTTGCAATTTGTTTTCAAAATACAATAACCATGGAAATTACTGAAACAAATGCCATTTGAGTGAACTCCTAACACCTTCTCCACAGCTACAGTCTTTGTCACTTCTGATTGGGATTGACAGAGCTGAGAAATCCAGGAACTAGAAATGCTGTCCTACTGGAGTTTCCCTCAGAGCAGCTCCTGTTGGTCCTGGCAGCAGCGTTGATAGCAGTGACATGTCTTTCTACCAAATCTTTCTCTGTATCTCTCAGAAGCACCGCAGAGGCTCAGCTCGAACAGGCTGTTTCTTTTCTATTTGCTTTTTTACTACAGGAGCTTGCATGTCCAGCACCCAGTCAAGAAGCGAATACAAAGGAGCTATAAGAACCTGACCCCTACAATCTTTACATGGCTTATCCATCATAGTGATTAAAAAGTGACCAGATTGCTTAAATGACAGTTGAAGAATAAAAAGCTCCTAGCTCTCAGAGCAGTAATCACAGACATCCTTTCTCCTTCCAAGACCTATCCTCTGATATTGCTTCTGATGCATGTGGGTGAGAGGGAGAGAGTATGATGTGAGCCTTGAAAATGCTAAGCCTGTGTTGTTTCACTGACCTAGTGCTGAACTATTAATTGATACTGTATAAGTGACTAAGATTCAGGAAGAAAGAACACAAGCCAAACCCCATCTCAGTACAAAACAGCCAGTATCACACTGTAAAAAGAGCATGAGAGATAAGTTACATAAGGGTACAATCATTTAGAGAAATGTAATACTCCACTTCAAGCCTTCTTAATTGATACTATACTGTTGCTTTCTGTAAACTCCCTGTTGCTGACCTTAGTCAGGATCAGAGTCTATTATTCAAAAACTAGGTGATCCTAATATAATAAAAACCTACTTTATTAATCCCTTAACAACTAAATGCCACTTCAATGGTGAACTATTTAATTACTATCACCATAGAGAGTTTGGTACTTTCATTCATTAATTTCTAGGCACACCTGCCTGATTCTGAAGAAAGCTAAGCTTCCATGATAAACAACAGTAACCACTTTATCAAGCTTCACTCCATTGCTGCAAAATAGACATGAGTATAAGAACACAGCTGAGGCCGAGAAAGGTTGCTTGGTTGATCACAGATGGTAATGGGGAGTGCAATGCTACTAAAACATACCCAGAAGTTTTCATTCCCTGGGCCAGGCTGGAGCTATTAAATCACATAGAAATACCAGGAAAGATAAGCTACACGAACCAGTGATTGCTAAGCTAAGCACTTGGGTGAGTTCAAAGAGCCCTTAGGGCCTGCTGTTTATTTGGAAAACTGGGGGGTGGGGTTTAAGGGGTGGGGGTGGTGAGCAAATGACAGAAATAGAAGCCTAGCTACACATAGTTGATGATTGTATCTTAACCAGTCATGTCCGAAGAATTTGTATCTTAAGGGTGCAAAAGTTCATATATGCTTGTGTTAGAGCACATGTATGCATATGTATGCTTTTTATCATCCTTTAGTCTTTAAGAAGCTTCACCATATACATATATATATACATATATATATGTATGTACTTGTTACCTTTTAAAAGGCTTCAGTCTGTATGTGTGCACATTTTAAGTAAAATTTACTTTTTAAAACATATTGTCAGTATCATTGCAACCCTCCACATAAAAAGAATTTTGACACAAAAAGCACATGAGAGCAGCAACATGAGTTGAAAACAAAGCAATTGCTATAATGCACTGACATAACATTGTTTTATCAAAAATAAAAATATTGAATAATGGAGTGAGAATGTAGATTTGTCATTCTAGGAGTATTTATTCCTCTTTCTGGAACTTATTTGGTTTCTCTAAGATGCTAAAAGGTTCCAGAATATATTTTTAACGTAATTGAGTGACTATCTCCCACAATCTTTCACTAATGAAGCCCTTAGAAATTGGAAAAAAACAAAGGAAGGGAGAAAGGGAGGGAGGAAGGAAGGGAGGAAGGAAGGAAGAAAGGAAATACATGCCAGTGATTCCAGCCACTGATATTTTTTCAGGATTGAATTGTGACGTTGTAGTGTTTAAAAACAAAATTTCACATATTTTTAATCCCTCTGTAGGTCTGGTTTCTTATCCTCTTTTCAACTTGGTTCTCTCACAGAAGCCACTATCCTTGATGACAGACATGGCCCTGGCTGTTCTTCACGACCACCGGCAGTGTGGTGAGAACTCTTTGGCCTTGCTTTTCTTCATGTCTGTCAAAGTGCACTAGGTGTAGAAGGCTGAGAACACAGCCTGCCTGCCTCCTGGTGCCACAGAGACTGTCCCCAGAATCTCAAAGAAACTTCGATAGAGATCCAGTTTACATAAAGCATTTCAGCAACAGGGGATGCACTTCATCTTTAAGATATTATATTAAATAACACCTTTACAAGATCCAGCTAACTAGAGGAATCATACAAAGAATTAGAACCCACACTGGCTTTTATTATCCATTATACATAAACCACTATGAAAACCCAAGCACAAAAAATCACACCTACTCTTTTCAGAATTTCAAATATCCTAAAACCTTTGCCTTGAAATCCTCTGGTGGTCAAACCCCTTGTGGCCTAAGCATTTTAAGACATTGTGCAGGAAATTCTGCGTGTGGAGATTCTTGCAGGAATTAGTTGCCCACTCCCAGCAGCAAAGCGATACTTAATTAGGAAGGTCATCAAATCACCTTTCCATGGACTAATTCAGGAGGTGTCTGCTAGCTCCTTGCTCTTTTTGTGTGGTTTGTTTGCTTTTATTTACAGCTTGCTGCTGGATTCTAATATACTCTCTTTTTGCCACAGCAAGTTTTTTGTTGTTGTTGTTGTTGTTGTTTTTAATGTTATGCTCCACTATGATAACCCTCAGAAGATAATACATTTTTACGTCTTGGTACAGTGTTGCTGAACTGAGCAAGGCACATAACTCCATCTATCATCTGTGTTTCCTCCACGTTAGGTGTCACACGGGCATGAAAATCGGAGCCCTGGCTCCAAGTTTTCCAGCTGTCCCTGCTGCCCTGTGATCTTTTGGTACACATTTTCTAGCCTGTTTAAAAAGGCAAGCTTCTATCCCCCTTCTTTGATTGTGTTTAGGCATTTTGCCAGTCCAAGACATGGATTACTATGAACAGAACCACAGACTTTTTTTGAACGAGAGTCATTTATGGACAGTTAGTAGCATAAACCAGGCAAGAAAAAAAGCAGCCAGTCTCTGCCTTTGTCCAGCATCTGGGTAGGTTTTGATTTTACTTAGAGTAAGAACAAAGCAACCACTGACTTTCCCCCCAAACGCAGACCTTATAGAGTGACTTTTAAAGACTTCATGACCCACGATTCTTCAGACAACTGAAGCAATTTTTTCCTCTACTTTTTTATTTTCTTTCCTTTTATGACATTTTATGATTATATGTTATGGTACAGTTCTATTTTTGTTCTTCATGTTTTTCTGTTCTTGAAGTTGAGAAGGCATTTCTCCCCAATCATTTGGCCACAATCAAATGTGTTTTATGGTTTGGGGATAACGTGGAGAGAAGCTTTAAGCTCTGTGCCAATCCCAAACATGGCATTCCCTATTGAATGAGCCAATTCCATCTCCTGAGTCTGAATAATTTAGAGGAGACGTGATGTCATTGTCTACTTAGAGATAAATGGAAAGGAGTCTGGGTGTAGAATTTTGGAGTGGTCTTTGTAATAATAGTAATTAAAAGGAACATTACCTCATATATTTAAACTTTTTCTGCAAACCATGTGCTTTTCTCATTTTTGCTCAGTTTTACTCAGAGAGGGTTCGTATTTCTGTTTCATTATTTTTGAAGCACTGTTTAATGACACTGGTTTAACACTTTCTCACAGTTCATTGCTTCAGTTTTCATCAAATTATAGTTCTTGTTACACTAGACACTTTCATCACCGATTTCCATATGCCTCAAAGCCATGCAAGGACCGGTTTGCCAACAATGGATTCAGATACCAGATCACAAGAATGGCAGAGCACAATTTTCTCTTTAGCTTTTTCTTTTTTTTCGTTTTCTTAGAAGTATGTCTTAATTGTACTGTGTCATTGTGGCATTTCCATACATTCATATAATGTACTATGATCACATTCATTCCCTCTATCATCTTTACTTAGCTATAATGCCTTAATCTTTTCCAAAACCTAAAGTTTAGAAATCACAGACTATCCAAACCCTTGGTGCCCAGCATTAGATATTTGTTCAAACGGATTAATCTATGCCTTTGGTGAATGTTTAAATTTACTGCAGACTGGAATTCTAATATACAAAATGTTATGATAAGTTAAGCCCTGGCCATATATACCTTTATTTTCTTCATATCTTGCCTATGGAAAACGAAGCAGCTATGCAATTTACCAAACAAAATGTCTAGCTTCTAAAGAATCCTAAACTCCCACCTCTCCTAAATTCTACAGCTTTCCCATGATACTGTATTCACCAATGAAGTTCATGTTCACACAGTGGCACAGACTAGGGCTGATTTCAGCTCTAGTTTTGCAGTTGAGTGCTATATCAACTATTAGTGATACAAATTAATTATCAGTTAGTTGACACTTTACAAAAAACTGTACTTCTTTTGTCTTTGAATCTGAATAGCACAATGATGAGCCTATGGTAACTAGAAAAATATTAAATCCTTAATCGTTGTTTTCAAATATCACTCATGTATCAAGAGCAAACATAGAAACAAACAAAAAGCCAGGGAATTGGTATGATTTGTGCTAATCTGACAACTAAATGCAAACTTTTGTTCTTTCAGTATCAATTTCAGAAACCTGATTACTTACTAGAGGGCTACTAAATTCTGGAGAAGGAATCTCATGAGGAAGTGTCTTTGTGATGATGTGTGTAGTGTCCCAGAATGGACTATGACTCTTGAGTATGTTGATCTTAGGCATACATTGTACTTCTAATGAAAGCTTTAGTCTGTAGAGACACCGAAAGATGCTTAATGACATGGGAAAATATATACTCCTGTTTTACTTCATATACCTCTGTATTGAGTTATATACAATACCTCCTTATTAATTTTGTGTGAAAGATTTTCAAGTGGGTTATACAACTGTAATTGCTGGGTGTACCCAGTATTATCTAAGCTTTTAAAACATATTAGTGCATATAATCCTCATAATAGCTCTACGAAGCAGGGTCTTTCCACAAAAGCAGAAAACAAGATACAAAGAACTTATGAGACTTGCCCAAGTCACAGGGGCAGTGCTAGGCATACATGAGTTCAAACCTCAGCTCTGCCCTCCAAATTCCCAACTCTCTTCTAAGTTTGAAAAATATGCTTGACTGGTAACCTATTGAACAAAAGTGTTCATAGTAGTTATTTTTAAGTGATGGAATTAGTTTCAATTTATACTTCTATTTTTTTTGGTCTGTATTTTCTAATCTTTCTCATGATGATTGAGTACTTTAAAAAGGAAAAATAGTTTTTTTTAAGTTCCTTCTGTACTAAGGAAGAATGTAGGTTTTTAATGTAGTGCTGTGTTGTGACCTAAAACAAAGTGAAACAAAACAAAAACTACTTTCTAGTAACTATTCCTTTAATTTGAAGCAGCTGGTAAAGTCGCATGCTCTAGATCTTGGCTTTTCAACCATTGTCTTAACTAGAAATCTTACTCGGTTTATAGTTCACTATGGGGAATCTAGAGAACAAAAGAAGAAACAAATGGAAGTTTCAAAACACACAAACACCAAGAAAGGAGTAAAGTTGGAAAATATAGCTGTCATTGAGTTAGTTCTAAATGTCTATATTAATTTCCGTTCATTTCTTCTTAGCAGTATGAGCCTCTAAGGAGAAATGAAGTGACATAGCTTGAAGCAAGGACCCCAGCGACTGGACTATTATTCTTACAATAGATTTTTTTCAAGACTAACAGGCTCCACATGGAACAAGAGAATAATATTGTTATTTGTAGCCACTCTGTCTATATATCAGGCCCCCTAAAAACATATCTGTTTCCTTGGACACTTCTTCATAGAGATTTGTTTATTTATTTGTGTGTGTGTGTGTGTGTGTGTGTGTGTGTGTGTGTGTGCACCTGCAATGTCTAGTCCCAACTTCTGAGGAAGTTGAAGTTATAAGTGGTTGTGAACCATCTGACATGGTTACTGAAAACTGAACTCAGGTCCCTGGGAGGAGCAGTATGTACTCTTAGCTGATGAGCCATGTCTGCAGCTCTTTGAAGATTTCAATTTTAAAAAATTTAAATTTGTTAATAACCCCTTAGAATTTTCTGTGTAATACTGGACGTAAATGAATTAGTTTTGATAAAATCAGATGTGGAACTGTTGTATCTATGAGCGTTTTAAAAGAAAAACAGAACTGCATTTGCTCCCCAGTTATATTTATTTCATAGGGAAGGGAACAAGTTCATATGTTAGTCAAAACGGAACGGACAGCACTGAGTGTTTTAAGGCTTGTACACAAACAGCATTTTATGCCAGTGTTGCACTTACTACTGGGGTTCTTCCTAAAATATAGCATTCCAAAAGGCACATATGAGATGTGGGGAAGATGGCTAGAAGATACAGCAAGGCTGGCTGTGAATGGAATGAGGGGATTAACGACGATCTCAGTGGGTAGAGATCTGGGGCTGGGGCTGGGGTCACATGCCTGCAGCTTAATTGTCAAGATTTTAGTAAAAGTTTTATTATTATTATTGTTATCATCATCATTATGTATTCAAATTTCCTGGGTGCATTCTTGCTTTCCCATGTTTTATCTTCTCCATAATAATTCTTATAAAAGCAGGCATCACCTTCAAAACAATGACTGCAGAATCCCCTTGTTGGCCTCAGTATGCTCACTCTAGCTTCCTAAAATCCATTCTCCACACTGGGAAACAGTGACCTTTGTAGAACACTAATGTCACCATGTTACCGCTTTTTCTATTTAAGATCTTTAAACAGTTTCCGGTTGTCCTCAGGATAAAGTCAAACATCTTGAACAAGGCCTCAGCTATGACCTTCAGATGTCTTTAGCTTGGCCCTGTAGTTCTGGCCACCAATTCTATCAATTCCAAATCCCTCTCCCACTGCATAAAACATCACCTTCAGCACCAGTATCCGTATGTTCTTTTCTTCCACAGGGAGACTTTACTCAACCCCATGAGACTGTAGAGAGTTGATCCTTGATATCTATGGGTTCTGCACACTCAGGCTCACATCAACTGTAGGTATAAATATTCAAAAAGCAATTGCATCTACATAAAGACGAACAGAGCTTTTCTTTTTGTCATTGTTCCCTGACATTATTAACAATTATTTACATAGCATTTGCATTGTATTAGATATTATAAGTAACCTAGAGATGAGTTAAGTATTCTGGAGGATGTGCGCGTTATATAGATAGCACTATGCCATTTTATATAAAGGACTTGGGCAGATTCAGATTTTAGTATTCAAGAGGAAGATAGGCCTTGGGAGGGAGCAAATTTGTGGATATTGAGGAACTACTGTGTCTTGCAATGGACGGAAAAAACTCCTACTTTAGGCATGAATAGGTCGTTAGCACGGTGTAAGAACTGTATCTGGTACTGGAGAGATGGCTCAGTGGTTAAGATTACTGGCTGTTCTTGAAAAGGACCTAAATTTGATTCCCAGCACCCACATGGCAGTTCACAACTGTTTGTAACTCCAGTTCCAGGGGATCCGACTCCCTATTCCATCTTCCTTGGTTCCTTTATGCATGAGGTGCACAGACACGCATGCAGACAAAACACCCATATGCACTCATTTAATAGATAAATAATTAAAACTCTTAGGCCCAGTACTTTGGAAGTATTAGTTGATGGGCCAGCACGCACATTAGCTTAGTGAAGAAAGATGGTTACCATCAAATCTACCCACCTGAATTCAACCCTCTGCCCCCACATGGTTGAGGAGAGAACTGCTGACAATCCAGTCAGTTGTCTGACTGCACATGTTAACATGGCATTACACACCCATCCACATATATACCCATATATTAAATAAATAATTCTAAGAAAAAAAAGAAAATATACTGGTTGAGTATTTGAAAGGTCATGTTAATAAGAAAATGGGGAAATTTTTAGATTCTGCTGTTCTAAATTCAGTTTTAAAAGTTGTATCCATTTATTTATATCATGATTTCTAATTGGTCTTAATAATAAAACGCCCAAGATATCAGAATAAATGCTGAAAGATCAGAGAAGTAAAGGAGCCAGTCACTAGGGAGACTTTTTACCTCTACTGAATCCTCAAACTGAAAGGAGGCAAGATCCTGTCTGATTGAAGACCTGCTGTACGAAACCTCAGACTAACGCCCTGAGCTCCTGTCTCCTCCTGCCTTATATTCCTCTCTCTGCCTAGCCATACCACTCCTGTCTCCACCTCACTAATGCTGGGATTAAAGGCGTGTGATCTCACCTGCGGGGATCAAAGGTGTGAGCTCTGTTTCTCTTTTAGACTGATTTTAGACTCATGTAGCCCAGGGTGACCTTGAACTCACAGAGATCCATCTGCTTCTGTCTCCTGAGTGCTGGGATTAAAGGTGTGTGCTACCACTGCCTGACCTCTATGGCTAACTAGTGTGGCTAGCTCTGCACTCCTATCTTCAGGCAAGCTTTATTTGTTACAGCACAAACAAAATATCACCACATTATTTATTTATTTATCTATCTATTTATTTATTTATTTATTGAGAAGGAAAGCAATGTTACCCTGTCAAATTGAATTATCTATCTTGGAAAAAACCCTCACAGCTCTTATTTACCAGATTATATGTTTCTTCCACATTCCTCATCTTATAAGATCATTTTAGCTCTGCTTCAGCGAGACTGCACTGCTTCCCCATGATAAGCCTTTCCCAATTAGCTCTAAATTCTACAGTTTTTTCCAAAACCAGACCCATGGCAGGTGGATAGATTTATTATAGTACCTAGTACATAAAACTGGTAGCAAAAATCATGTGAGTCTGTTAGGATGGATACTAAAATTGAAAACAAACCAGCCCATGCTCAGCAGCCATTAAATGTCCCCATTGCAACACTTAGGATACAGCCTCATATTCACAGGACTGCAGGTTCAACCCCTGGCACCACAAAATAATTATCGTAGAAATGTTTGTCTAGCTCATTACATGAAGTAAATATATAAATATAATGTAAATATATGCTATATTATATAAATAAATATAATATGCACAGCCAGCATATGTAATAGTAAATATAAAAGTTTGTCTGATACTTGTTAGACATCCTTTACTAAAAATGGCAAGAATTAATGTTTTGCAAAATTTAAGATTTTCACATCTTCCTTAGGACCTGTTATTACTTCTGCTGCCAGAAGAGCTAAATGAAATTAACCTTTTCTAGTACACTCATTATGAAACTTATTTCAGGACGTAAAATTTCATTCATCTTAGTATGCCTCCAATGTTTCTCAGTCATGGATACTTTTGTTAACCAAAAATAAGTTTTAAATAAAACAAACCTCCCCAAATTATTCTTATATTTATTTTGAATGTGTCACAAAAAGATATATTCAAGGATCAGATTAGTCATACGGGTTTCTTTTGAGAATATATCTTGACAAACTGTCTTTGTAAATATGTAGGCACCAGTTTTCTCAAGCTTCTTTTTATTTTGGTATCCTACTATATTTAAAGAGAAAAGCCTTCAAATGGGCAGGACATAGCACAGTCTTCAGCTTCTCACTGAGAAAATAATTTTGTAAAGCAGTCTTCTATTTCTAGAGACATTAGCAAAATCCTTTAAATTGAACTGTTTTAGCTACATTGAAAGTTCTGATTCCTCCCAACGCCAGCCTTATGATATCACTTCCTTTCGTGCAGATCTGGCATGGAATTTTCTTCATTGTGTATTTGACTTACTCATTGATGCGTTCTCTCCTTTGCTTTTTCATTTATTGACTCATGTAGTCATTTAACAAGTATTTCCAAGTGTCTACGTGCACAGTACAAAATCATGGAGGGTAGAGAGAAATATAAGGCATAGTTCACAACTTTGGGCATGGGCCACAATAAAAATACCTGAAACAATTTTACAAAGTGTTAACCATGGGGACTCAGGTTTTTTTTTTTTTTTTTTTTTTTTTGGTTTTTTTTTTGGTTTTTTCGAGACAGGGTTTCTCTGTGGCTTTGGAGGCTGTCCTGGAACTCACTTTGTAGACCAGGCTGGCCTCGAACTCACAGCGATCCGCCTGCCTCTGCCTCCCGAGTGCTGGGATTAAAGGCGTGTGCCACCAACGCCCGGCGGGACTCAGGTTTTTTAAAAAGTAGTTTATTGACTGAGTGTTTATTTTTATTTTGTTCCAGTGGTAGTGATAGACTTGAATGGAAAATGGTTATTAAAAATGTAGACAGCTTAAAGACAAAAGGAGAGAGCATAGCTGTAGTTTTTCTTCATGAGATTTATACAATTTCACTGAAATTATCCAAAGGCATATGATAGTTTAATGATTTTTATTCCTTTGAAAGAACCACAGGACACTAAGGTTTTATTGATAGCTTTAATGATTTTATTCCTTTAAAAGAAGCACAGGACAGTCCAGGTTTTATTGGCTCCTGTTCCAAAGTCTTTCTTAGGAGTCTGAGCACTTAGTTCAAAAAGTATTGAACGTTCAGGGGAAGCATCATTTGCCTCCACGCAATGGTCTCCCATGTTTCTCTTGTTTTCTTCCTAAAAGCATTCTGAAAAGATATTTTTCAGGTTTTATAGTGAGCATCAGGAAATGGATGTGGTTGGCACTCAGCCATTTTAAAGTAAGGTTTCAGGGCATGCACCTATATATTTGTGGATAATGTCTCAAAATGTAATTTCAAATCCACATAACGGGAATTACCTGAAAAGTGGCTTCCTCTTGCTCCTGGTTTATTTAAATTCGCTTGCAATTCTCCAAATTTTTTGTTTTAGCAACTCAGAGGATATCAAAAGTCTCAACCCACATGCAAGTTGTTCATTGTTGAATAATTGATCTACAAACAACTACCCAGTAAGGTTAATTTCTTCTTATATTGAAAATTTCAGTTTTAAATATTATTTCCCTCAGTTTCCTTATGCAATAAAATGGTACAAACTCTCACCAACTTTGTAAAGAACCACACACTTGATTTTTAATCACATTAAATATCCTGAAAAATGTGCCAATAAATTAAAACACACTGTTATTTACAGCCTATGTGCCCATATTTAGATTCTGAACCATATTCAAACTAGTTCGACTGTTTCGGCCGACTACAGTGTAAGTAGTAGTGGTGCACAGTGATATCAGTTCAAACAGCCTTGGAATTCAAACCATTTACATGAGAAGCGTGTACTGCTAACTCCTCTCACACAAAAACCAATAGTTTAAAACAACAGCAACATGGTTCTAGTCAGTGTTCGTGGTTGGGCTGAAAAGCAAAAGAAAACAAAATATAAAAGTGGCCCTTCCGCTCACCTTTGGCATCCTTTAATGTCAGTGTCACTTGCTGTGACTTGTGCTGGCCAAGGGAAGGCACTGTCCTTTCCTCTCAGCACAGCAGACAAGCAGGGACACTCAGGGCATGCTGTACAATAAAAGGACATCAGTGAGCCCATTTCCCCTTCATTTCTGCCCGAGCAGAAGAGATGGGTTACTTAAAATTCAAGTGTCAGGGAAGTCCATCGTAAAAGGGAAGTATTTTCAAGCGAATTTCGTTTGATTTTTTTTTTTCCTAAATAGGGGCGCCTTCGACCCTTCCTCCCTTCCTCTCCCGACCCTGGAAACCAATTAGTCTCAGCGCAGAGGCGACAGAGCAGGTTGAAATGGCTCCCTTTTAATTTTAGGGGATATAATTTCAGCCAGGCGGGCTAGTCAGCTGCCACAGTGTGTACTAAGCACACGTATGTCTCGTGCACACACACATTGGAATTGCTTTCGGAAAATGCAGATTTTTTTGAATCTGACTTCTAGAAAGGAATTAGATCTGGTCGCCTTCCAAATCCTTCAGCTCTGACAGTGGCATAACTTCACAAGGCCACCTCATCTTTCAGACAACCACGCCAAACAAGCTTTCTAAAAAGCCTTCTGTCCCAGTATTTCAGAGGTTTTCCCCATCTCTATCCCAGACCCCCTTTTGCATACAATTCCTAGTATTCCACCTTCTCCTGCCCAATCCGGGTTTCCAAAGCAGCAGAGAAAATGGGAGTAACTTCGATTTTAAACTGGTTCTTAAAGTGCAGGTCTTTGGGAGAGGGAAAATGTGATGCAAAGGGGAGGGAGGAGGACAAAAAAAAAAAAAAAAAAAAAAAAAAAGGAAATAATTAAAGCCTTTGCCTCACTTCACCTTCTTATCCCGAACCTGTCTTAATTCATGAAGGTCAAAAACCCTTGTCTTTGGATTGGCCTTTTCTTTCTCAGGAACAATATTGCAGAGTCAAAGATGTGTGTGTGGTGTGTGTGTGTGTGTGTGTGTGTGTGTGTGTGTGTGTCGTTTTGAGTAGCTTGAGGAGAGGGGAGCCTTGATACCCCCACAAGAAAGCCTCAGATCAGCAGTCGAGGGACTCTGAGGTCGTCCCCCTCGGTGTGATCCTTGTGCCCCAAGCCGCTCCTCCAGCCCCTGCAGCGAGTTCTGCGCCTTGGAGCTGTGCCAGGACCTCTGACAGAGCCTGGCAGGTTCACGAGTGGGGGGCGGGGGCTTGGTGTTCTCTTTGCAGAAGACGCCCATCTGGGGGGCTCCCCTATTTTCCTGGCGCTCCGTGGCCCGCCCTCATCTCCCCGACCCCTATCATTTTAAAGCTGATCACTCATGGTGATGAACTTGCATCTCAGCTTCCTGCCGCCTGCTTGACCCAGGAGCACCAGCAGCCTGCGGGCCTCGCCCTCCGCTCTCCCTCCTCTCCTGGAAACCCCGCGGCCTCAGGGCGCGGGTGGGGGGTTCGAGTGGGCCGGAACTACTGCAGGGGCGTGCAGGGCGCGGGGTCCCGGCGGGGAGCTCAGAGAGAGCAGAGCTTGGGCGGCCCAGCTTCCTGGAGCTGTGCTCCTTTGACCCCAGTGGCAGTCCCTGTCACTGCACCGCTCGCGCTCCCTTCGCTCGCCGCGCCCTCGCTGCCTCTCCTCGCCCCCTCGCTCGCTCTCTCCCCACATCGAGGCTGCACTGGTCCTCTCCATCTCCCCCCCAGCAGCGACCCCGCGCCCCGCTCGCACCGCGTCCCCGCGCTACCCTCCAGGCCCTGGATCGGCGGCGGGGACCTTCGGGGTCGAAGGTTCTGGCCCGCCCGCGCCCCTCGCCCCTGTCGCCCCCAGCTCTGCTCCCAGCCGGTTCGGGTGGCTCGGCGATGGCTCGCCCGCACACGGGGCGCTGAAGGCATCCCGGAGACCCGGAGCACAAGCCCGGGAAAGGTAATCCGCCCGGGGAAGGGAGGCGGAGGGCGGGGGAGGGGGGAGGAGGCGGCCGGCGGCCGGTGCCGGGCGCGAGAGGAAGGGAAAAAAAATGCACACACAAAGCGGAGCCCGGGTGAGAGGTGCCTTGTCAGAGGCGCGTGCGAGGGCGCGGGGGCTGCGGAGCGCGGCGGCCCCGCCGACCCTGAGGTTGGCCGAGTAAGCACTCCAGGACCCGGGGAGAGCAGATTTGCAACCCCCCCAGCCAGAACGAATTTCTTTCCGTAGCTGTCCTCCCTCCCACTCCCCATCTTGCTCCCTGTTCTCCCTTCCCCCTAGCCCTCGGCCACCGACCTCTCGGGGTCCCCACCTCCCTGCCCCCTCCTCCGCCCCGATTTCTCGGGACGGGCTTGGGGGGGGGTGGGTGTCTGCCAAAGCCCGCGGCCGAAGCCCCGCGGCGGGGATGGGGGTGGGGCCGGGGAGTCCGAGATCTGTTTACTAGAAAGTCCCGGGGTCGTGCGCTGCTGCTGCCCCGGCCTAGGCCCGCGTGCATTGTGTCGGCCCGAGCCCCGTGCGCCCGCGGCGGCCCCGGGCCAGGTGCAGTGGCCGGACAGCTCGGCGCAGCTTTGTGCTCGGGGCGCCCGCGCGCGCAGCGCTCCCACGCGGAGCTCATAGGCGGCCCCCGCGCCCCGACCTCACTCTCCAGTCGGTCTCGGCGATCGCAGCCTGCAAAGCGAAGGGGGCTGGGAGGCGGGGTACGGTAGCGTGGAAAAGTAACCGTGGCCGCCCAATTTCTTTTCTACCTACGCAAGAGTTAGGTTTTTCTTTCTTTTTAAATTTTTTTCTATTTACATTTACATGTGACAAGGTTGTCTTTTAAAAAAATCTTTCGAATTCCGGGCTTTTGCGGCCTAGGAGGTGAAGGGAACATTTTTTTTTTTAACCTAAAGGTTCTAGAGGGCTTTGAAATTCCCCCAGCAAGAAAATAGCGTGGAAAGATGATGAGTGGGTTTGATTTATAGCTCACCCCCCAACACACGAGGAATTAAGAGCGAATGCGGGTCATGAAAAAAATGTGTAATTGATTTGTGATGGTACAGACACTAACAGGTCAGGGTGGGGGAAAACAAACATAACTTTAACTTGGAAGGGAAGGACTTCCAAAGAGGGGGCCAGGCGGTGGCTTCCACACCCCCTCCAGCTTGATGGCCCGATCCCTTCGCTTTCCAGCCTTTCCGGGGAAGGCGCCTGGCAGCTCCGGGACACAGAGCGAGGAAGCGGCTGTTCATGGTGCAGACCCGGGCTCCGGTCTGTGTGCTCGGAGATGCCAGCGCGCACGGGAGGCTTACGTCCCAGACCAGGGGCTGCGTTGCCCCACCGAGGATGGCGCGGCGTCAGAGCCCGTGTTCTACAGAGGTGCTCAGTAGGTCCCCGACTGGGAGAGAAGAAGGTGGAGTGAGATTAGCCGACCCTGGGGCAGCGATCTAGGATCCTTAGTGCCGCCGGCGGCGGCGGTGACTGTGGCAGCCGGGTACTCAGCGCCTGAGGAATGAAGAGGGAGTTATGGTCAGGACCAGGCAGTGAGAGCTGACAGGGCAGGGCGTGTGTGTATATGTGCGTGTGTGCCTGCGTACGTGATTGTGTGTGCGCGTGTGTGTGTGTGTGCAGTAGCTGTAGCCCCCTCCCCATCTGTCCACCCTAGATTTAAAACAAACAAACCAATCCAAAGTAGAGAATTCTGTGCCCCCCCCCGCCCCACCATATATAGACTCCACGCTTTGTCAGAGGCTCAGGAGAAAAGTCGTGCCCTCCCTCTCCGAAAGAATGTGCCAGCTGGGTGTCAGCAGTGCTGGAGACAAGTTCAGGTGTAAGTGTGATTGGAAGGGAGGGAGCTTAGTGGACAGAGACACGTGGAACTTTGTCAGCATCTTCAGAAAAATAAACTAGCTGAGCAATCGCGGGGAAGGCGAGTGGGCATTGCCCCCGCAAGTGGGGATGAGTGACTGGAAATGGGCATAAAAGAATAGGGGCAGGAGTTAAGAAGGTTCTGGATCCCCGAGGCAGAGGGAGGAGAGAATGAAATTTGGCGGGGTTGGACTGGAGGCAAGCTCCAAAGTCCCTCCACCCAGTTGGTGGGGCGGCTATCTTTCTGATTAAAGTGAGCATCCTTATTTAAACAAGGAAAGTGAAATCCAGAGCTCCTTTCTCCTGTGCTTGGCTTGGGCGGCGCATGAGTAGAGAGGTCAGAAATTGTTGCTTGGAAAGTTTAGGTAAACCGGACTTCTGATGTCTAGTAGGTGGAGACAGTTATTTAAGTCCAGTTTTTAATCCTTTCCTTGCCAGCAGACTTTAAGAGGTTTTTCAAGTGGGTTCCTGGAAAAGAAATTTTCCAGTCTTGCAGCTTAAGGGACAGAAATGACTGCTGTCTAGGAAATGCTCAATGGCTCACGTGGGCTTTTTTTTTTTTTAAACTGAAACTCTAACACCAGTGTGACTGCTTGGCAGTGACAGTCCTGTTTAGATTTTTCTTTAGGCATTTTGGCATCTTGTACTGGGTGCCTTTGTTTGTGGATAAAATGCATTGGAGTATAAAATTAAAAGAAGAAAGCTGCTCCCTTTAACTGTTGTGAGAAGAGGATGTGGTCGGGAGGGTTTTACAGCCTGAAGATTTGAGGCAAGGTCATGCAGCTTCTTCGAAGGTTAAGATGGGGTTCTCGAATCGTTCAGGCCTTCTCCCAATCTCATGTGAAGCAAAGTGGTTTTGCTCATGGTTTTGTCACTAAGGGCCCCCACCCCCCCAAAACCCTCACACACACCAGTCTTAGGATTTGTTCATTTCGAGGTGTGGGTGGAATTGAACATAGCATTTAAAAAAAGCTTTTTCTTGACTTGTCTGCAAAGGTACTGTGAAAGTTTTGAAGCCCTCTGCCTCAATCTGACATTTCCTTCAAAGGACTGCAGATTAAAGAAGATAGACCCGGCAGGTGCACTGTTTCGATAAAACATTTGAAAGGGAACAAGGCAAAGATGAATTCAAATGAGATGCCAGCCACCCATTTAGCTCTTCAGAATTGCAGGGATCTGGGCTTGCTGCTGATGGAGAGATATTGTTTGCCTTGCTGCAGGCAGAGGCGCAAGGAAGGGAGACATAGGTGTTTCTCAGCAGAAAACGGAAATCTGTAGGGTGACTTTAGGATGGAGTGGACCCTTTAGAAGTGGGAATCTGTCATGTAAGTTCTGCCTCATCTTGCCTTCAACATGAGAGGGTGCCATTCTAACTGCTTCAAGTCACTGTAAATACTCAGGGTGTCTTGTATTTCTGACCTATACTCTCTTAGTTTAATTAGTAAGTTTTCTCTCCAAACATTTATATTCTTTCTGGGTAAGGGGTACAGATACTTACTCTGAGGTCACAGTGCTCTAGACATGAATTTGGTTTCCGGCGCCTCTGAAATGTGCTGCACCTCACACAATAGACAGTGATGGAAGGAAAATAAGGATTGCTAAGTAATTTTTATACCACTCTCTAATTTATGCAAACACTAAGTTCTCGTATTCTGAAAATGTGTATTTTCCCACTCTGTGCTTTGATGGCTAACATTCTTTCTAATGACAGACATTTCTGTAACAGGAAGATGTTTTCATTTGTATTTACTTTTCAGCACCACGCAATTATGCAGCCCTGCGCTTCAGTTGTGTCTCAGTACTTTGTGTCTCAAAAGAGAATTACAGCACTTAGAACAGGACTGCAATTTGAAGCAGGTGTTGTGTTTTACTGTTATGCAAAATAACAGTAAAATATAATTGTGTGGGAAATTAAGGAAACAGCTGCAAACTTAGTATGAAAACTGCTACATTATGATTCCTAAGCAGTTCTTTATAGATATCGTACGCCAGAGGAGCAGAGAAAGATTTGCCTTAGCTAATCCTACTAGCCAGATAGCCTATCAACTGGTGCTTACCAGAGTCACAACTCCCATGAAGTCAGGAAGAAGAAAGAAAACCCAAGGAGACATTTTGTTAAAAATGCCAGAACACCAGGGGCTCCTTTCTTGTCTGTGGGAATGTTCTGGGAACACAGGCTGGGTGGGTGTAACCTAGCTTGCTTTGCTAATGTGAAAAAAACCAAAACCAAAAACAATCATTTGAGTAGAACACTGTGGGATTTCTTAACCCAGCAAGCATATGGAGGACTACAGGAGCCCCGGGTTGCAAAATAATAAAATAAATGGCCTATGGCAGGCCATCTGCCTTTTGTTCAATATTTTAAGGTGTTTCATGCCAAATTTCAATCTAATCTTATTATTCTAAATATTTTTATTTGAGATAGCAGCTAAGATTTCTGGAGCTTAATAGTGAACATGGCGAGTGAATTCTGAAGCAGGGTGTTTAGAGAAGAGTGCAGGTTAGCCAAGGGTTAGCCAAGGGGTGTGTGGTGCCTTCTACTTCCTCCAATCGGTCATCGATTGGGACAGCTTCCATGCAAAGGCTTGCTTCCCTTCATCTGTGAACATCTGCCACTAAAACTGATATCTTAACTTCTGTACCCCATGTGGTAACTAACACACTGACATGAAAAGAATCAGAACTGCTGAAAATTTCTTAAGGGCATGAGACCAGCTCCGAGAATGAGGCCACAGAAGTAATGGCTGTCCTCTCTGAAAGCTCCCTTCGGGAGGGAAGAGAGTGGTCGGGGTTACAAAGTTAGGGACCAAACCTTTGAGCCTCTGGCTTTCCCTTGAGTGACTAGAGTATTGAAAGAAGATGTGCCATGGTTAGCCAGAGAGAAGTTGATATGTCTACCAGGCTTTTCGTATTTAAGAAAGTGTCTGCAAGACAAACTTATATGTAATGTTTGCATCATGTGCATTCTGTCCTTAGGCTCCAGTGTCTGTTAATGAGCACAGAATCTTGAGTTTGCATTTGTCATTGTGTCCTGTGGATCATCGAAACATCAAGATTTCAAGTGATTGTATAATGTGATACCAATTCTGTAAGAACCAAATATTTCACTTAGCAGGGAAGGCTTGGTGGAGTCTTCCAGCACAAACCATTTATAGCTAGACACCATGGCAACTGTGGATTTGGTCCTTTTGCAATTCACGTTAAGTGCCATAATTATAATTAGAGAGGAATTCTTAGTTTGAACTCCATTGAGACGATTCACTAGCATCTAGTGATGCCGTAAAAGGTATAGAGTCCACTCTGAGGGACAGTCAGCAAAGAGTAGGCAACAGATTACCCACGAGGAAAGAGTGTCGATTCAGATTTTTTTCTGAGCCAATAATTATTTCTACATTCCACTCTTAGTGTGTTTTAGAACTGCCTTACTCATTGTTCTTATTTTTTAAAATATTTATACACACATATATATGGTTTGTTTTGTTTGTTTCTTTTTCTAGAACGCACAGCAGAATTGATGAGTAGATCCTTGGACTCAGAGGTTGGCTGAAACACACCATGCCTGCTTCCAGCTTTTGCTCCAGAGAGTTGTGAATTGCTCATGCCTATAGGGAGGAAGGATGGCACATGGGATTCCTTCTCAAGGCAAAGTTACCGTAACGGTGGATGAGTATAGCTCAAACCCCACCCAGGCATTCACACACTATAACATCAACCAGAGCAGATTCCAGCCGCCACATGTACATATGTAAGTATTTCTCCTGGATGTTAAAAAAGAAAAAATAGTAACAATCAAGAAAAGAGAAGCAAAGTGAAAGAAAACTATTCCCTCTGCATTTTGCTAGGGAGAGTGGAAGTCAATGATTTCCAAAACAGATGGGTATCTGTGGTTTCAAATGTAGCCCAGGAGAAACCCTTTGCATCCGTGTAACTATTCAATTTTTTACAGCACATTCAGCCACAAAAGTACCCTGGGTCTTCAGGACCTCTGAAGGATTGTGATAGTTGCTCACATTTTGTAGATATGAACTGAGAGAGCAGGGATTTTCCCAGTGCCACACAGTGAATTTTGGCAGTGTCACCTCACCCTAGTTCACTTTGCTTTACCATGCATTGTTTACTTGCATGATGTAATATTTCTTTAAAATTTCTCCAATATTTTCTTACACTTCACCCCAATAAGCCTTTACATTCATCTGGGAAATAAGCCTAATTGGGACTAATTGTCCAGCTACTGCTAAATCATCGTCTCTCCTAGTGAAACGTGGGCTGCATTACGCAAGACTTGAACAATGTGGGGAACAAAGGGTTAAGGGGGAGTGGAACAGTTGGTGTCAGGAATTTTACCTTCCTTTCACTCCTGATACATGTCAAGCTTTAAGCTATTTAAGGAGGAAGTATAGGAGAAACTTAGAGGCAAAGACATCGAAGCACCTGGTCAAACACCAACTTTCGTCTGGTCCTGCACTGTTCAAGAGCCAGGCTTTCAGGAGAAGGGGCAGACGGTCACTGTCTCTCTTGTTTATTCAAGGCCTGGTGCCTATTCTTTATGAGACCCCTTCCGATGTCTAACACTGGTCTTCCATGGCCTGACTGAATCCCTTTCAACTCTGTTGTGTAGTTGAGAGGGAGAGGAGGTTAGGATTTTGTTGACTGTTTTTACTCCTGGCAGATTTGAACTCAGGGCATGCCCAAGTCACATGCTCTTTCTTGTTTTATTTTATTTTTTTAAAAAGTAAGAGCCCACCACCTATACACATACACACACACCTCTCTCCGATTCAGAACCATTAATTAAACAAAATGGTGTTTTCCTTGATTGCTTGGATACTAGTGTGAATAGTGGGATGGTGTTTTGTAAGATGTCCTAGAAAACCACTTAAAGTACCTGTGATGAGGTTTGTGCAAAGTAGGGAAACAAAAACAGCAGGTTTGGAAAACAAGCAAGCAAACAAACAAAAAAAACCAAAAAGAAAAGAAAGAAGGAAAACATCTTTGCAAATGGTCAGTGCTGAGCTGTTTCTGAGAACTTGCTGCTGGCTTCCGTGAGAATCTGCCCATGACTGGGAGTGACTGCTGACAGAGGGCAAGACAGACAGAGGTTTGTAAGGGAATGTCTTTGTTAATGTGATAGGCTTTCTGAACAATAAATGTGTATGTGCATCAAGCACTCTTTTTATTGTTTCCGCTTACCCCCTTCAAATATGTTATAAAATTGGGGCACAGTGTAGCTTAGCATCCTTTTAGCTTTCTTTGGCAGGCTGATATTTGTGTTACAGGATCTCAGAGAGCTCTGTGGATCCTGTTTCCAATGAGGCACGGTGAATGCCGCTCTGCCCAGATTCCTTGGGCAATGAGTGGAGAGCTCAGCCATCACTTGACTACACAGACATTCTTTTATTTGCTCTTGCCCACAGGAGTCTACTGGTAAACTGAACGCTGGGATAGTTTTTAAATCATGTAAGCTTAAGAACTGGTCCTAGATCTAGCTGTGAAAACTTTGAAGGGACAAAGTGTGCATGTACGTGTGTGTGTGTGTGTGTGTGTGTGTGTGTGTGTGTGTGTGTGTGTGTGTGTGTGTGTGTTTCTTTCTCTTGGGGGAGAAAGGAAGAAAGAAAAACAAAACGAAACTCCCCACAAGAGTAACAAAAAAAAAAGAGGTTTGTAATGGCAACCTAGACACCCATGCAGCCTGTCACTGGACTCCAGCCTGGGAATGCTGGGCTCCTCCCAGGTGACTCCAGTGTGGGTTTCCCTTCCATTACCACTCATCTTCTTACCTGAGAGCCCCTGGGCCCTTCCCTGCCAGTGCCTTTGAGCTAACTGTTTCTCACAGCTGTGACATTTTCTGTTCTGATTATCATACGCTTTGAGCCAGTTTAGTTTCCTGCACCCACAGGAAGCCTCTTGTCCTTTGTCTTGTTGCTCCTTTTCCAATTAGAACAACTGTGTCTGCTCCACGTGACACAGCCCTAGCGCCTTCATTTCTTTCTTACATTTCATAGGGCCTCTATTATTTTCTCTCCTCCCCTCCCTCCCTCCCTCCCTCCGTCCCTCCCTCCCTCCCTCCGTCCCTCCCTCCCTCCCTCCGTCCCTCCCTCCCTCCCTCCCTCCCTCCCTCCCTCTCTCCCTTCCTTCCTTCCTTCCTTTCTTCCTTCCTTCCTTCCTTCCTTCTTCTCTCCCTCCCTCTCTCTATCTCTCTCATCTTGCTTTCTTTCTACTTGTCTATCTGTGGTTAATCTAGCATCTATCTATCTACATAATCTATCATCTATTACTGTGTTTTTCTATCTGTGTCTAACATGTTTCATCAATTATTATTTTTCTACCATCTGCCTACCCACTTAGCATCTATTATATTTTATCTACTTGTTTTTATTATATAATTGCTTATTAACTATTAATATACATCTATTCATAGATACACATTTTTATAAATTTGTTATTATTGTAACCTATCAATATCTATCACTTTTATCTATTGTTGTCTATTGGTAATATTTTCTATCTTATATCTATTATTATTTTTTCTCTATATATTACCTACAACTATTTTTCTACCAATCACCTATCACCGTCTGTCTTCTGTCTACCTACTACCTGTCTCTCTGTCTGATCTACTGATTGGTTCAATACATTTGATTATGTGTTGATAGGATAAACCTGGGTCATTCTGGGAGCACGAAGGTTTGTCAGGAATGTGGCTCACTATTGCCTCAGCCTTACCTAGTCATCTAAGACCCTGCTGTTGCTTTGCAGGTTGATGGCCTAGCGTTATGATAGCCCCTGATAGGTTACTGTAGGAGCTTGGGTATCCTCCTTGACTTCAACATGTTCTATTTTGGTTGCATTAAAAACATTACCCCTTATATAAATAGAAATTTAAAGTAATGGTAAAGTATTTGTGAGACATTGAGCCTAAAATTTCCCTTGATTTTTGGAAAATTGCAACATGTCATGGCAGAGTTTTGCTGCATTCCTATAGCTAGTTTGTGTTTCCTGCTTGAAGCATTATACGTTCATTTTGCTGTGGGTACCTCAATGTTCACTTTTGTTTCTCACTCCCCACCAAGAGCTGTGGAGACCAGTAATAAATGCTAGGCCCCTTTGTCTCTTGTCTGACCTACTGATAGCAGTGGGTATTGCATTGCCTTAATCAAAGAACTTTTCCTTTTTCACTTAATGTGGCTCTTAGCTTCGCTTTATGATCAGTTCTCCTCCAGGTACCCCTTCTGATCAACTTCCCTTCCCCAGACATCAGTTTATTCATAGGTAAATAATTGCACCAAATGACTGATGTCTTTTTTTTTTTTTTTTTTTTTTTGGTTTTACGAGACAGGGTTTCTCTGTTTTGGAGGCTGTCGGTCCAGCCTGGCCTCGAACTCACAGAGATCCGCCTGCCTCTGCCTCCCGAGTGCTGGGATTAAAGGCGTGCGCCACCAACACCCAGCTTACTGATGTTGTCTTTAACTATGACTTAATTAAAACTGTAATTAAAATAAAACTTTTTGCAAGGTGCTGATGTGAGGGGCAAATAAGTAAGAGTTGGTTGCCATCATTATGGAGCTCACCTACTTTAGAGCTGGGTTCTCACCCAGTTTAATGAGGTTTAGATTTAGTCCTTATCTATAGCCCCAAGATTGCTACCAGACTTTCTAAGAAGCATCACTTTGAATTTGCTTCTGACGTAGGGTTTTCTTTTCTTTCCTTTTTATAAAAGTAATCCTATCTGACTTGAGAAAAGAAAATCAAAGCACAGCTGGAGTTAGTAGACCAGAATTTAGCCTAGAATGTGAGTCCTTTCTTACTCAGATTCTTGATTATACTGACAGATGAGATGATTGAAAACCAACAATTAACAGGTCTTCATCTGTCCACAAGCCCTTTATCTTTCTTGAACAGAAAGTTGAAAAAGTTATTTAGTATTTTTAGTAATGATAAGAGAAGGCATTAAAAGAACCATTTTAGGTCTGAAATCATAAAGACTTTGTGTGTTTTTAATGATGGGAAGCCTAATCAAATACTCTGGTAAGGTATTCAGCTTGGTCAGGGTTAGCACTAGAAATCTGCTTTATGAGGAGCTCCCTGTTCCTTGCAAAACAGGATGGTTGGTCACAGTACTGAGGTTATTTTTTTAAGGGTTGGCAATGGGGGAATTTTGAATTCAAACCTATCTCCTGTTCCGGCACTTTTCCTTGTTCACACCTTCAGTTACTAAGGCCCCCGGATTTTCTTTCTCCCTTGCTCTTTATCAGAAAGTGGTATCAAATGGTAGCTGTCACCAGTGGGATCCTGTTTTCTTTTTTCATCTGTAGCATGGGGTTGATAAAAGGTTGTTAAAGTAAAGGGGTGCAGAACATCTATAGCACCCACTGTATACTCAGTACCGGTTGTTATCAAGAGTGCTTGCTCCATTGATTCCAAATGTCTTACTCCAAACTGCCTTCATTCAGTCACTGCTCGGTTTTGTCTGGTCTTCTTCAAGGAATCATTGGAGGGCACCATGGAGGCTTTTCCTGGTGGGATTTGGGGTTGAATTTCCGGCAGTGTCAGTATCAGCAGGTGATTTTGTTCCTCAACAGCCAGGAAGGTCTCTACACCTCCAGTTACACCATGAGCATAGTAGTTCAAGTGGGTGGAAATCCTGTGACACGTAGCTGTTCAGTGAAGACCACCAAGATTTTTCTCCTCTTGGGCTAGACCTGACTTCTGTACCCCTGTTTATGTCTCAAGTTCCCCAGCTGGGAC